TTATAAAATATATAAGAAGAGTAAGAATATTAAAAGTTCTAACTGATACATAATATGTAAGAAATCATAAAATATATAAGAATAATAAGGATACTTAAAGTATTGACTTACATATAATATATAAGAATAATAAAAATATTGACAATATTAATTTATATATAATACACAAGAAATTGTGTATTTCGATATTTCAATATCAATTAGTATGAAATAGTATAGTATGAAAAGCCATCGTCGTTTGAACGACGTTGTAATTAATTACATATGCAAATGCTACGTAACTTTATTATATAATGGCTTTCCAACAGTATTTTAAATTCCCATGTTCGAATTTCTAAAAAAAAAAATGTGTTTTAATTATTCATTTAAACGAGTTTCGTACTTTCAGAGGTAAATTTCACGTTAATCGCCAAGGAAGTGGTAGCAGTGGCACCGAAGCAGAGCAAAGTGCCGGTGATTGTTTTCATAAAAGACCAGAATGATAATTATCCGGAGTTCACGGAGAATATATACGAGGTATCGATACCGGAAAATTGCGCCATTGGGACCACGGTGGCATGGGTTCAAGCCTTGGACGAAGATAGTGACAATTTTGGAACACGAGGAATTAGGTACACGAATTTAGGTGGCAGCATTGCACACGCGTAAGTGTCAAACGAAATTTTATTATTTCAAATTTGCATATTTTATAGATTTTATTGATTTTAGATTTCTACAATGTGTCTAGATGACAATGAGTAAATATATATAACGATTGGCTTAAGAATAACTTGCAGTACTAATTAAATTTCATACTTATGATTTTACTGTGTACATGTAAATACTGATCGTATGAAATGCTTCGAAACTCCCATAATTTTCTACTTGATAATAAATTTATATCTCTCCTTTAATCTTCTTCCTAATTTTTGACCACGAGTTATATGATATTATAGTAGATATCACGTCATAAATAAATAAATCAATAAATAAGATAATATTATTTTTCAATTTTTCATCTTTTACAAGTATTCATTATTATTGATTTATTATTTCTATTTATTGATTTAGTATTAATTATTTTTATTCTACTTACACATTGTGATTTATGATACTAATAAATGGATAAAGAAAATATTATTTATAATCCATAATTTACTTATAGTTGTTTATTATTTTCTATTTTCGAGATAAATATTAGTAAAATACATATACTAGTATATTATTCTAAAAATAATTTTTTTCTAATTGTATACAATATTGAAATCTCGTTTTCTTTGTTCAAGGTTATCATTGAACCATCTAACAGGTGTAATCACGGTTAAAGAACCTGGGCCAAGTTTCGATCGAGAATTATTATCTCGACATTATTTGACTGTAGAAGCAAGGGACGATCTTGGAAAAGGCAATCGCAACACTGTTCAATTAATCGTTAATGTGAACGATGTGAACGACAATGCTCCTGTATTTCTGCAGAACAAGTACGAAGCTGTGCTCCTGGAAAACGAGGACCATTTCGAGTCGCCATTAATCGTCGAAGCATTTGACATCGACTTAAATGGTTCGACGCTTACTTTATCTGCATCTGTTAATTTAAGTGATAAATTTCAGACGAAATTAAAAAAGAATGGTAGTGGAGAATTTTTCTATTTCATTAATACAAAGTCTAAGCATTAAAACAATTAACTCTGAATAACAGAGAAAAATTAGTCCTTTAATTTATTATAAATTGAAAAGAATAAATTAATTTGATTTGAGTTTTTGTTTTATCCATCAACTGCTTCAAAAATTTTTCAGTATTCTTTATGATTATTCTTTAAAAAATTTATAATATGTGGAAAAGCTAGTGTACAGTATTTTCATAGGAAGAGAACAAATTTTGAAAAGATAGAGTAAATAAGTTATTCAATAAATAATAGAATAAATTATTCAATACTCATGGAAGCTAATAAAATAAGGTAATATTTAGTAATAATAATACTTAATTATAACAGTAATAAACAGCAATAATAATTCTTAATAACGATGCTTATGTATCGTGTTAGTAATATAATATCATATTTTTAATATTATTGTATTAAGTAAAATTATTAATAATATTTGTAATATTTCTTATTACTAATAATATTTGTAGTTTTACTTAATAATATTTCCTTGACATAATAATTAATTTAACATTTTATCAAAGAAATATGAACAAACATATTCCCCAATTGAAAATAAATTGCAAATAAATTTCAATTTCAAAAAATATCTCTATCCTGTCATTCATGATTCAGTAACAAAGTTTCTGTCGAAGAGTAATATATTTTTCATTAAATGCTTTCCAGGTACCAAGAACAGCCAAGTAGTGTATGCCTTAGTATCGAGTGAATTTTCGCGGAATTTTAGTATCGATTCAAAGCGAGGCGTGATCACCCCGACAACACCCTTGGATTACGAAGCTTTACCTATCAGTCAAGGGCACAAGGAAACGTCGGTACGTCCATTGAGATTGACGGTACGAGCCAGGGATATGGGCACCCCAAGTCTAAGCTCAGACGCGCCATTAATTATTTACCTGAAGGACATCAATGACAATGCACCCGCATTTGAGAGAACTTTGTACAAGAGAAGCATCCCCGAAGACCTGTCTGGGGGCACCACTGTGGTTCAGGTATTATTTATGTAATACACCTCGATTAGATATCGATTATGCATCATGATTATCTAATTTCTGATATTGAACAATAAGGAGATTTAATTACAGAATCGTATTAATTAAATACAATACTTCAAATTATTATTTTTATTTATCATATTAGGTTCTCAATTAAATACTTAAAATTAAATTTTTGCTTCTGACAGTACCTTAAAGTTTTGTGTTTGGGTTAGGTTTAATTTAATTAAAATTAAATTAATACTTGTAATAGTATTTCATTTATTAAACGTTTTAAATTAAATAAGTCCTTTTCATAGTACTTCATTAATTGGACAGTTTAAATTAAATTAATACTTTCAATAGTACTTCATTAATTAATTACTTTAAAGTAAATTAATACCTACTATAGTACATATTATCAATTGAGAAGTACTTGTTAACTGCAATGAATAAATTTGTCCAGTAATAATTCAATATATTTAATAATAAAAATACTTGCTAATTGCAATGAATAAATTTGTTCAGTTACAATTTTGAATTATTTCATAAGAGATATACATAGAGTACACGTGTTGAGCTCAAGTACTTCTTTTGGACATAAAATTACTTAATTCCATTATTAATTGTTTATTATTTCATGAAATATTCAATATTGCAAAAATTTATTACCCTGGATTTAAATGATTAAAAATTTAATATTTCAGAAAGGTGTATAATATTGTGATTTACTATTGATCTACTAATACTCATAAAGGAATTACACAAAAATTTATGGATATGTAAAATATACTTACTCCATTCTACTAATACGAAAACAGAAATTATTATTAATATCCTTTCAACTCAGGCAGAAAATAGACGTACAAGATATAGTTCAGCTAAAAATTAATTAATCGAATATTACACAATTTAATCTTCAATAAAAATCCCGTTAAAAGAATCGTTACAGCAAATCATAATAAAGGTACACCTTTGCTACAGGTTAAAGCTTGGGATAAGGACTTATCTTCGCCGAACAACAAATTAGTTTATCGAATACAAAGCGGTGCAGGTGATAAATTTGTGATCAGCCCGGAAATAGGGGTAATTAGAGTGGCGCCAGGATCCAATTTAGATCCAGATCTAACTTCACCGAAGACAATGAGATACAGCTTGAACGTTATCGCGATTGACAGCGGAACGGAGATCCAAAGAACGGCTGAAGTTCTGGTCAATATCACCATAGTGGACGTTAATAATAAGCCGCCAGTTTTTATCGATCCTGGGACAGTGACCATTCGTGAAAATACACAGGTACGTGATCAAATTTGCATGGAATGTGATATTAAATATTTTAGATCCATCGTATCTGCTTCTGTCCTTCGACAGTACCATTATATCAATCATTATGTCAATATTATTTAATATTATATTGTAAGAATATATATATACACCTTTTGTGTAATAATTATACAGTGATGTTAGTTATTGGTTCATTTGCATATTTGATTATTTATTATTAAAGGCATTAAAATTTTATTTACACGAGTTTAGTAATGATGAGGAAAGAAATTGCAAAAATATAAATAAAAAGGAAATAAAAAGGAAAAAATAATTTGAGGATTTGCAAAGTCACTATAATTAAATAAATTAGTGACGTTAGTTAATAGTTTATTTTTATATTGAATTATATATTATTAAAGGTAGTTGCATTTAGTTTGTAGAAAATCAAATTGATGTACTCAGGTACATAAATAGCAGTAATAATATGACTGAAAAATTGGACAAGAATAATTAAATTTTTTGAAAGTGATATAATATGAAATGAATTTGTCTTATAACAATTTATAATGTTCCTTCACCACTGCAATATCAAATGCCTTCTTTTTCTACTAAGGCAATAATAATAATAACAATAATAATATTATTATTACACACAATAAAATATAATACAAAAATTATTCTGTTTCAAATAGAATAAAATATCGTGAATAATAAATTATATATAATACTACTATAATAATATTATGAAATATTAAAATATTAATTGTGGAATATTTTTTGTTACATTCTATATAATAGTTTAATCAATTATTTATACTATAACGTTCATTTTTACCACGAAACAACATTTCTTTGAGTGTCACATGCTTCTAAAACAGATCAATGAGAAATGGCGCCAAATTTGAACGTTATAATGCTCGAAAGTGGAGTTCTTCTAAAATAAATCTCATAAATATTTACACAAGTATGAATATTAATACAAATCGGTCTGAAATAAATTTAATACGAATTTCTCATGAAAGTAATCAGTTGGTAATTTGAATTTACATTTTTGACGCAACAATCGCGATTTGCGATCGTACTCTGAAGAAATACTTTTTACAAAAAGGAATGAAATGGCTGCATCTGATTATCTGGACCATTTTATTAGGTTGGAGCGTACGTGCATCGCGTTGTGGCTAATGATCCAGACATAGCGCCGATATTGCGCTATCGCATCGATCCGAATTCATCGGAAGCAAGGAACGAAGAGGGAACGCTCATTAAGATCCAAGAATATGATTATCTGTCCGCTTTGGAATTAAACGCACTCGATGGATTGCTTCGGGTAGTTAAATTGCTGGATAGAGAAAGAGTGGAAACGATAAGATTGGGCCTGGTTGTTGAAGATTTGGCGGCAATTAGAGGAATACAGATCTCATCAGGTCAGTACATACGCATTAAAATAAATAAAAATACAAAGAACCTGGAACGTATTTAAAATCATTTCACGAGAAATCGAGGAGAAATTATTATAAGCCTTTCATAAAAATGCAAATAAAATGGAAATATAAATACGAAAATCCTGCAATGTATTTAAAGTCGTTTAAAGTCGAGGAAGTGGTGAGAAATTACTACAAACCTTTGTTAAAAATACAAATAATCTGGAACGTATTTAAAATCATTTCGCGAGAAAATAACGAATAATTACTATACCTACAATAATTTTTATTAGCAATGCACAAGTCATCATTTCTCTTTTTTAATTTGATAAATATTGGTAAATTTAAATTATTATAATAGCAACAGGAGGAATATATCATAAATACATCAATAACAACATAAATCATAAATTATATATGTAATAATAGAAATACAAATCATAAATTGTAATTCATTCTTTTAATTGTAATAATATTATTAATTAATGGAAAAATATTAATAATACAGTATATAATAATAATATGAACGAAATATAATATATACCTACATACAGTAATGTATTATAATATATAGTGCAATTATATATATATAATAAAAATTATAGGTATGGATATGTAAATATAATAAATTATAATAAATTGTAAATACATTAATAACAACATAAATCATAAATTATAAATATAATAATAGAAATACAAATCATAAATTATAATTCATTGTTTTAATTATAATAATAATAATATTAATTAATGGAAAAATATTAATAATGTAGTAATAATAATATAAACGAAGTATAGTACATACCTACATATAGTAATGTATTATAATATATAGTGCAATGATATATATAGCTATAATAAAAATTATAGGTATGTATTGTAATATGTATTACCTTTTAAGTATAGTATAATTTAATATATTTTCTGAAATTAATTCCAAACCTCAATTCCAATTTCAGCTACGTTGAACATAATAATCGAGGATGAGAACGACAACAACCCAAGATTTCGTAGACCATTTTACAGACGATCTGTAACGGAGAACAGCAAAAATGGCGTGAATATCGCGAATATTGTAGCTGACGATGCAGATAAAAATCGCAGTATCACGTATTCGTTAGAAAGTCCCAGGGAACTAGCTGAGTTGGTCCATCTTGATTCCGAAACAGGCGAAATGGTCGTGGCGAATAAAATCGATAGGGAACAATATTCCTGGCTGAATCTTACGGTGCGAGCCACTGACTCTGGAATTCCACCTAGGTAAAATCGTTTTCCCCATTTCCATTCAATCAACTGCCCCTTCACTTTCTTCCATCGCAGTATTCTCACTTATCCACGCAGTTTCATTTATCAATGAGAAAATATCGGAATTAATATACAAACACATTTCATTCACAAATAACAAACTTAGCATAAAATTGAACATTTTATTTCCCCTGTCTGTGAATTCTTATTAAGAAGGAAGAAGAAAAATTTAATTTGCGATTGTTTATATTATTTTCATTAAATAATAGCTTAGAATTAACGTTTACTTGCATTCATCATGTATGCATACTTATATGATATCGTTATATACCTATTCATATGTATTTATATTTCATTATAGCTCAAATGCACGTTTTAATTTATGAAAATGATTTTATTACGGTTCACCACTTCGTTAATGGTATCCATAAATTATTCATGTGACAAACTCCGTTTTATGGCATAATAAACCACACACATTTCGGACCACGTCATGAATATTCAAATTTTATTTACGATTAAGTTTCCTATATTGATGTCTATATTTCTTTCGCATGATTAAGGCATCGACAATATGCATCAATGGGTCGTTAAAATTAAATTTTCTTCCCAGGTCGAGCCTTTCTGAGGTGTACGTGCAAGTGCTGGACGAGAACGACAATAATCCATACTTCGTGACTGATATCAGCAATTTAACTGTGATGGAAAATGCTAAAATCGGTACAGAAATTGCCACCATTCAGGCTAAGGACCCTGATAGCGGAGATTATGGCAAAATCACGTATCTTTTAGACAGGATGTCATCCCAGGCAAGGATACTTGTCATTATTCCTTATTCCATCAGTATACCTTGTCATTATAAATTATACCATTAGTATAATTTCTTTAAAATTATATCTTTAATTTTTGCTATTATTTTTAAATTAATTTTTATTTTACTCTTCATGAAGTTATATTCAAAAGCTTTTTTGTGAAACAGGGTACGTTTGCCATCCATCCAGAGACTGGTGCTTTGACAGTAGCAGATTCCATTGACTGGGAAGTTAAACAAATTTACGTGCTAGTCATAGAAGCTTGGGATAACTATCAATTTGGTTATACAGCTGGAGAATCGAGAAATGCTTTTAAACAGATTCAGTAAGCCACTGTATATTATTTATAAATTTATGGCATCACTTGGAAATCCTGTATATAAAAATATTTAAATATTTTTAAGTAATTAAATAATTATATAATATAGTATAAAAGCAGTACTTAAATAATTATTATTACTGTGCATTTTTCATTAATTTGTTAATTACTCCTGTTTCTAATGTTTACTGAATTTGGTTGCAATTTAAAATATTTCTTGCACCATTTCATAACTTTTTAATTTTCACAAAATATTTTGGAAAATACTTTGGAACATTATTGATTTTAATTAAAAATTAACGAGGATGCAGTAGAAATAGATCATCACTGTCTATTCTATTTTTAATTACGACACATATAAATGTAAATAATTTATTCAATATTCGATGAAAAATAGTAGTATTAATTTGTGAATTTTTATGATACTGCACAGCTGCACTGCTGTTTGAGAATAGTTTGATTACAGTTTCAGTGCAGATTCAGTACAGTTTTAGTACAGCTTCAGCACAACTTCACTGTCTTATTGGTTACGATACCAGAAAATATATTTATCGAAGGGAATTTATTTTTCAAGGGTCACAGTATCAGACGTCAATGACAATCCACCAAAAATGGATATACCCTCGACATGCGTTACGATATCAGAGTTCCACGACGTCAAAGACATAATATTTGTCATCAAGGTGAAGGATGCAGATGATCCAGCGACACCCAATGGTCGTGTGAAAATTAGAATCCTTTCTGGTAACGAATTAGGTTCGTATGAAGAATTTTCACAATTTTCTTGCTCTACGATGTGACTGTTATAAATGACTGATATTACAGAAAATATATAATTAATTACATAAATTTATATCGACTCGTTCGATTAGGTTTATTCATACTGGAACAAACGGATCATTGGACAGCAAATATAAAAGCTGCACATTCGCTACGAGGAAAATTCGGAAATTATTCGTTGCACTTGGAAGCACGAGATCTTGGAAGCCCTGTTAATAAAGATACCTCTACTCTGAACATCTGTGTGACCGATTATAATGACAATCCGCCAGTGTTTATTAGTCCTCAGCATAATACGACTATTCGAGTTGCAGAGGTGAATTTGCATCTATGTTAACAGAAATTTTTCTCTTCCAGAGCCTCCTTTATTTTTATATCGAGATTTTTATTCAGAGATCTTGATAGAATTTAATAAATAATTCTCTGAAAAACAATTTTTCGATACTTAAAGTGATAGAAATAGTCATAATTTTCTTGAGTTATTGGCAATTTATGAATTATTCTATGTTGGAAGTTTAATTATGAAAATTTATGGTTACAGGAGATTGAATATTAGATAGAATATAGGAAAAGTAGAGTTAAAAGAATCTGAAAAAATATAGTAGAAAAAAATGCAGTATCTTTTTCTATTTTTCTCACTTTCTCTAATTTTGCCATTCTTTGTTATTTCGTGACTATTCATACTATGATTTAATACTGAAAGTGTTTCTAAACAATATAATCACTATTTTTCATTTACCAGTAAATGATATATTCTATAAGTATATTATTTATAATTTATATTATATTAAAAATTAATATTTTATATGATTTATAATAACATATATAAGCTATATAATTAAATATGTAACTTATATAATTTATATACAATGAAGTGATAAATAAATTGTATAAGTTTATCAATAATATTAATATAATAATATACTTGCGAATAGAATATTTGTCATTAGACATATGTAATTAGTTTTTAATATGTAGAATTAATATAATCATTATAATTCACTAGTGATAAACCATTTATTTTGATAAATATGAAAGTATGAAAATTGCAGAACGTAACAATCGGAACACCAATTATACAAATCGAAGCCAAAGACGCCGATACTGGCCCAAATGGTGACGTTCATTACCGAATGAAACAGGACTTGGCAGGTCATTGGAGAACTTTTCATATCGACGATACAACAGGAGTTATCTCGTTAAAACTTCCTCTAGACAGGGAAACGCAGAAATTATACGAGGTAAATTAAATTAATAAGTAATAGCAAGTATATACTTTGAAAGATATGTAATAATATATTAAGAATGACATTATAAACAAAATTACTATACTTTCTGCCTGTATCATAATAATATACACAATCTAATATATTTAATTGTAATAACTTTTATAAAAATTCCTTTTATCATACAATATAAAATATTATTTGCACTTCCTTTTTTCAAATAATTTCAAAATCATTAGCTATGTAATGAAATATTAGTATTACTATTTAATTGCTATCTAATTGCTTAGTATCATTGTTCAGTTACTATTTAATTATTTAATATTATTACTTAGTTACTATTTAGTAATATTATAAAATAATAAAATAGTGTTATTATTATTATTAATTTAGTATATATGATAGTAAGAACTATAATATCATGTATAATATTGGTGTATAGTAATAAGTGTGATAGTCTACAGTAATCTACACACTATAGACAATTAATTGAAGTATAATTAATTGACACAAAGAACATGAACTTTAAAATAACAGAATAATTATTTTCCATTCATAGATTAGAGTGGAAGCGTACGATTTAGGAACCCCAACTCCTCTTAGCACGGATCTAGACTTAATTATTTACGTTCGAAACATCAATGACTATGAGCCACAATTTTTGGTAGACATTTTCAACATTAACTTCACCGAGGAGCAACATCCTGGATCTGAAACTGTACAGCTGCCAGAAACTATCGACAGAGACGAAGTGGATGATCTTGATGATCCTCCCACTCAAGTGTGTTACTTTATAATCAGTGGTAATGACGATAAACTATTTGTTCTTGATGTCTTTAAACATCAATTGACTGTAAGTATCACAACTAACATACCTCTAATATTAATGATATATAAAATATTTAGAACAGTAATACAGTAATATTTAACTATACACCAATCAATTTTTCGCATTTTATTATTATATTAAATATACCAATTATTTATTGTTAGTAATATGAATATTTTTGTAATATATTTTATAAAAGCTTGAAGAACTGTTTTAATTATTTGTACAATTTAATATTTTGTGATATAGTATTAATAATATATTAATTTAATTTGAATATTAACAAGTTTATCATATATAATGATAAGTGTATTTTCACAATATGCTTCATAATTATTTGTATAATTTAATATTTTGTGCTATGGGATTAATAATATATTAATTTAATTTGAATATTAATAAATTTATCATATATTATCACATTCATATGTAATGATAAGTGTATTTTCACAATGTGCTTCATAAAAGTTTGAGATAATTTTGGGTTCAGATCAATTGTTCTTAGTTAACTATATTTACAATTTGTTATTTCAGACTGCTAAAAAATTAGACAGAGAGAAAGAAGAGCAACACCTATTGATCGTGAAAGCAACAGAAGATTGCAACACTGTACCTGCAAATGAAACATTCTTTGATGAAACAAATGATACTACGTTGAAAATCATTATAAACGTGATAGACATAAACGATAATCCGCCAAAGTTCGTTAGCAAAATATTTACAGGTGGTGTCACCACTGAAGCTGATTTTGGCACACAATTTATGCAAGTGAAGGTAAAATATTACGTTAATTAATAAATTTATTAGTGTTAAAAATGAACTGAATAAAGGAACAAAATAAGCAAAAAGTAAATTACTGTTTCAGGCAAATGATTTGGATGCAGGTGATAATGCTGTAGTTAATTATTATCACATTGGTAAAATGCATATGACATTGACAGAGGGTTTCGATGACATCGAGTTGCAACCATTTCTTGTTAATAAACTGACTGGTGTAGTGAGCTTAAATTTTGATCCTCAAAGAGGGATGAAAGGATACTTTGATTTTATGGTAGGTCAAATTTATTTTTCACAATATTATATTCTTCCAAAATATCATATGTGAGAATAATATTGTCAAAACAATATTAATTTAATATGATATATTATATTAATATTTACTTCAACTATTAATTATCAGTTTAATTACAATTACTAACTATTAACTCAATTATTAATTATCAATGTCAGTAAATTTTTATCGATTTAATTGATAAAAATTGATTAATAAGTCAATTTTATTTTCCACAATATTATGTTTTTCCAAAATATTATATGTGAGAATAATATTGTCAAAACAATATTAATTTAATATGATATACTATATTAATATTTACTTCAGCTATTAATAATCAATTTATTTATAATTACTAATTATTAACTCAATTATTAAGTATTAATACCAATAAATTTTTATCGATTTAATCGAACAGGTACTAGCCAATGATACTCAGGGTCTAAGAGATACTGCAAGGGTATTTATTTATTTGCTACGTGAAGATCAGAGGGTTCGCTTTGTCTTACGACAGCATCCACCGGAAGTCCGTAACAGAATAGAAACATTTAGAGAGTAAGTCTAATTGTAAGATAAAATTTTTAAACTAACAAACCAACAATTGCACATTGTTGCCATAATTATTATATATTATTTTATTAAATCGTATTCTCGATTATTTAATATAAGTAAATTAACAATTATTTAATATAAATATTAAATAATTCAGTAGGGATAAGAACCATAAATAGGACCATAAATTTCTATGTTAGTCACTATTATATAAAATATTAAAAAATTGTAAAATTAAATTGCATGCTAGGACACTGACCCTTACTATCTTCAAACAAGCTTCAGTAAGAAATTAGTTATTAATTACCTGTCACTGTACTGTCAAAGACCATATGCTTCACTTGGAAATTAACAATTTTTCAATTCAATCCTTAACAACCTCTAACACTATTACGACAATTCATATGTACAAAAATTTTATAAACTTGTGAATGCAAATTTTCAGAACATTGGGCAACGTGACTGGAGCAATAGTAAACATCGACGAGTACAAGATCCACGAAAATCACGATGGATCCGTCGATCGAACGAAGACAGACCTGTACATGCATCTTGTGAATCGTCGGGACAATTCTATTCTCGAAGTGTCAGAGGTTCTCGAATTAGTAGACAGGAATATAGAGAAGCTCGATGGCCTGTTCAAGGAATTCAATGTTCTTGACACGCAACCAGCGCAGTATCAGCCAATTGTTCAGTACGAGCAAGCAGGGACGACATTCTGGCTTTTGACTTTGACTTTGTTTCTCGGAGCTCTGCTAATTTTATGCATAGCCCTGTGCCTTTCGCAGAGAGCCTCGTTCCGGAGACAATTAAAAGCTGCGAATGCCTCGCCATTTGGTAAGTATTACGATATTCCATGTACTGCGTTAATTCCTTTTGTTTGGTTAATTGTTTGGCCAATGTAAGAGAAAATAATAATGAAAAGAGGTTAAAACTGTGAAATATAAACTATGGAAAATATATGTCAGTAATTTATGATTTAAATATTTAATTGGCTGCATGATTGACAATGAGTATATTTTAGCTATAATAATTTTATGAATAATTTGTTTAGATTCTAAAAGAATATTGCTAGTCTATGAAGTGTTAAAAATTATAGGTTGTAAATGAAAAATGAAAAGACTAAAAAATTACAGATAGATATGAATTAATATAATTTTAATATTTATATCGATTGATATAATATAAACTAACATAATATTAATAGTAATATTAATTAATCGTTGTTATTTGGATTAGTACCTTCATTAAATAATATTTAAAACGATTGTCAATTGGCATTATGAAATTGTTATATAATTGAATTAAATTGTATTTAAATTTTTCAAATTGAACATACGTTGGAAAAATTTCCTTTTATTCAGTCTATTTTAAATTTTAGAAGTGACAAATGAATTTAATACATAAATAACATTGATTTTCTTATTCTATGTTCAATTTTTGAAAATGTGAGTTTGATTAATAATAGATGGGTATAATTGCTGAAGACGATTGTAAGGAATAATGTATCAGAAATTAATGAACAAGGAGTGAAAGAAAAATTCTTGAAATATGTTCTTTATCATTTTCGTTAAAATGCTAAAATATGGAATAATTAATTTATTTTAAAGAAATTAATATATTCACTTCTGTTTAAGGAACATCAGACGCGGAATTTATCAGAGGACCTGGTCGTGTTCCCAATACAAATAAACACAGTGTAGAAGGTTCGAATCCAATATGGATGCATGCTTACGAGAACGAATGGTTCAAAAGTGACGAATCAATCAGTCATACATCTGAAAGAGATTCTCTAGATGAAAACGCACTGAACAACGAAGAAATAATGAACGAAGCTAATACAAACCAAAGAAACGACGACAAACCGTATTATATCGAGCCAAGAGTGTCTTCCATTTCAAGGTAAATATTTACAAAGTGCAAATATCGTCGATAATACTTATTTTCAGACGATAAGGTAATTAAATATTACATGAATACTTAAAAATGAATTTAAGGTACGAATATTAAATCCTCAATTTACAAACTATTTATTCTCTAAATAACTTTCAAGATGAAGTAGCTTTCTCTGAATATAACCTTCGAGTAGTAGTACAGAATGAAATCCTTATAACAATGCTTTACTATAACAAAGAATTATATAAAAATTAAAATTTTTTTAAAATTATTTCACATTTTAATGTAAAATAATTTTTATAAAATTTTAAGATGCTTATTTTGAACACGATATTATACAAATATTTGTAATATGTACTGTGCTATGTTTAATATCTTGGAAATATTAAAAGCTAAAGAAGTAAATATCAATAATAAAATTAAAAATAGAGAAATAATATTTTAAATATTGATAATGGGAACTAAAATATTTTTCTAATTATTTTCTAATTATTTATTTTATTTCTAGTATTAAAAGCTGAACTTTATAACATTGAACTATATTAATGTATACCATAATTTTATTTATAGTACTGAAAGTATTACGAATATACCAAATGACTTCCATCGAAGTTCACCGATATATCGAACGCAAAATACGATCGTCAACCCTCTTGGCAAGAAAGTGGAAACAACGGAACTGTAATTGAACAACGACAGTAATGCACCGAAGAAAATTTGTATTTTACGTGGTAGTGTCTACGAGTTTATAAGGAGCGTAAATTTAGAGTAATTCCTGTAAATAGTCAAACTTCGTACAAGCAGTAGTGTGTATTTAATATTTATTTTATAGTACTTACTGTTAGGAAACGATAATAATTATAATTTTGTATCGTCTAACTTTTATTACCTTACTTGTCTCGAATCTATAGTAATTACCATTACTTTTGATGAGTCTCATTCTTAAGTATGCCAGAAGTGAGTCAGGTTAACGTTTAATACAAATTTATCAATGATCTCTGCACACCAATAAGTCACATACGTTTGTACACCTTCATATTTCTGTTTATTTGAGAAATAAACAATTAATTTAACGATATTTTGATGCCCTTACTTTGTCGAGTAATAATTTGGGCCATCTAGTGATATTCTAGTTTCTATTTTCTGGTTATATTTTAGTACAGGATATTTTTTGAAATATAGACAATGAAAATTAGTTAATCACGAATTTTAAATTTACAAAATTAAATTATTTGACTTACAAAGTAAATACCTCATCCCAATATCTCTAATTGGATCTTAATAAATCTGAAACATATTTACATGTCTATGTACACATAATACAAAGTGCATATGTACATATAAATTCTACTGTCCCAAAATTTGTTCCTGCATAATGCAGAAAATCAAATAATTTTTATTTCTAGTACAAAATTATTTTACGGTATTTTTACATACGGTAGGCAAATGTAATTAACAATGATCAATATTATTTTTATACAAATGGTACAAGGAAGGTAATTTTTTATACTACTAATCATACTCCTTATCCGAGAAATGATCACATTAATAATAAAGAAATCAAGATTCTTATTTCAACATGCTTTAATCTGATGCGCTTAATGGTACTATCATTAATCATTGGTAAATTCGAGCATCAATGATTTTCTCGTGGAAACATATCATTGCGATATTAATACACGTCTTATATACTTCGATAAAAATATTACTCCGAATATTTAAAAATATTTCTAACATCTTATATCTAATATTAATATATCTACTATTTTTAGTATCTAATTTGTAAACTATATTGACAAATATTATAAGATATTAAAAAATATTTCTAATATTTCAAATATATTGAGAAACATTTCAAAATATTTTCCTAATATTAAGATATATTAAAAATATTGTTCTAATACTTTCCAATTATACATTTATTCCAATATCCACTTTATTGTAGAGATATTTCCATGAAAAAGAAAATATTTTATTATACTTGAATTAAAATTTTGCTACAAGTTGTTATAAATCATATTCTTTGAACTCTATCCATTTTTCGTGTCCTCCATTGCTTCTCCTCTTTTTAATCAGTGCATCAGAATTGCATCAACACGCCAGCTTGCATTCGCTCGATTACTAATGCACTCATGAAAACCGGAAGGGAAATCGATGAGATTAAACCATACAAAATTACATTGGAAATTTACAGAATTTAAAAATAAATTAAATTAAATTAAATTAAATTCACATTAAAATAAATAAAGAAGTAAATTAAATTATACTAAATTTAATTATATAATTAAATAATAAATTAAATTAAATTAAATTCCTATTAAAATAAATAAAGAAGTAAATTAAATTATACTAAATTGTAGTCATCGACAAAGCTGTACTGTACAAATTTCCACTACAATTCACCAAAATCAACCAGCCTAATAAAAATTCTACGAATTCTCTATTTGTCAGAAAATATCTAACCAAGAATTTTAAATACTTAATCAGAATTTAAAAATAAATTAAATTAAATTAAATTAACATTAAAATAAATAAAGAAATAAATTAAATTATACTAAATTGTAGTCATCGAAAAAGCTGTATTATACAAACTTCCATTACAAATTCACGAAAATCATCCAGCCTAGTAAGAATTCTATAAATTCTCCATTTGTTGGAGGATATCTATTCAAGAATTTAAAATATCTAATCAGAATTTAAAAATAAATTAAATTAAATTAAATTCACATTGAAATAAATAAAGAACTAAATTAAATTATACTAAATTGTAGTCATCGAAAAAGCTGTACTATACAAATTTCCACTATAAATTCACGAAAATCAAGCAGCCCAATAAAAATTCTACGAATTCTCCATTTGTCGGAAAATATCTAATCAACCATCAATCAAGTTCTCTGCGAATAATTACCCTGTAACAATATCACCTATATTTAACCCTTACATTCCAGCCAGCAACACGTAAAAACTGCTATCTCACGTCGAGCCACTATAAATTAGAACGCGAAAACCGGCATGCAAAATAAAGCCAAACCCCCGGAACAATCTCGCTCGTGTAAACCCTCAAATCTGGGTCGCATAATATTAAAGCCCAACAGCACTTGCGCGAGGTCTGAACCAAGACGATGATCCCTGGAGTTCCTATAGCACCAATAAGGTGCAATTGAAGAACCCCGTGGGAGGAAAGATCTTCCAATTTTTTTTTGCATTTTTATAGACTGCTTTTATAATTCACGATATTACTAGGCAATGATTTTTTCAAAAATTTAAGAAGGAAAAAATTTGGTAGTCCCTCGTGACAAAGATGATAGTGAACATCGATTTTTTATTTCAAATTTTGCAATATTTTCTTGAAAATAAAAGTAACCTTCAATTTTTTTAATGAGATGTATTTTCATATTTTATATTATATGAAAATGGATGTTAGTAAATAATATATTCCATGAATAAATTATTTTTGTAGGAATTTTTTATTAAGAAGGTTATTCATTCCGTGTTTCATAATTTTTTCAATATTTTCTTGAAAATAAAGGTAACCTTCAATTTTTTTAATAGGATGTACTTTCATATTTTATATTATATGAAAATGGATGTTAGTAAATAATATATTCTATGAATAAATTATTTTTGTAGGAATTTTTTATCAACAAGGTTATTACTCCCTTGTTTTATAATTTTTAAAAAGCTACTTGCGTGAATTATTTGCTGCTATAAAATTATTTAATAGAAGCTGAAGTCGAATTTTAAATTAACGTTGATACCAATATGTGCTATAATCTTAATACACCATATAAATACACCAAATTTTCAGTACACTATACATGAGCATTACAATTATTACTTATTGCAATATATTATTGACGAAGCATAATTCGTTAATCGAAATAATTTTTTTCTAAAAATTACTGATATTCATAATTTATTTTTGCGGTCTATAAAAAGCCAATTGGAAAATTCAACACATCATTCTTCCAAAAATAACGTAAATATGCAAAATTAATATACACTGTTCTATTTCTTTCTTTGCACGGGAAATTATAAAACTTTCTCAAGTTTCTAATTAATATAAATAAAACAAGAAAATGATTAAGTAGTTTAAGGAATATTAAAGAAATAATTAAAAAATGAAGTAAGAATAATAAAACAATGAAAACAGAATAAAAAAAATAATTCAGCTTTCAATACCTTGAAACACGATTCTGTCGGATAAGACCCTTCCATCTAAAGAGCTTCTCAATTGTTTTATAAGATCGCGATATGCGTGAAGGTTATCCCCAGGACTCGTTGAGATATTATCTCGACACGAAATACCAGTAAAAGAAGAATCCATTGTTTAAATGCAAATTAGCCGTACGTACTGACCTCGATGGGTCAGTCACACTCCTTGGTCCCTTAGGAGCCTCTTGGTTGCGTGGCCCCATGCGGGAGTTTGCTGCTTGACATTTAGTCCAACCCTACACGCTATCGTACGATTACCAAGATTAGCAAGAAGAATTCGGATCCTAAGGAGTTCACTGAAAAATCGTGGACGTTGTCTTTGATCGATGGGCATCTGACTGTGAGATCTAGGCGAATAAGGTTCAGGCTTCTTAATAGAGAGAGGGTGCTATAGGGGTTGTATATCTATCTGTCTATATTTATCATAGGGTATTTCATCTTAACAGGTATCAAATGTCTAGCAAATTTTTAGGACGTGTCTAATAAATATTTATCAAATTTCGATGAATTTCGATTTAAAGGAAAAATATAAGTATGTAATAAATATTTAATAAATATTGCAATTTAATATAGTAAATCATACCTAATATATTAAAATGAATATTTAATAAATATTTTGAAAATATAAGTATGCAATAAATATCGAGTAACCTGATGTATTAATTATTATATTATTTTATTTTATCGTTGCATCATTGCTATACTATCTTTATTTGACAATTCATTTGTAAAAATTAATAACGCTTAATATTAACTTTTCATTTAAAGGAAGAATTGTCACCAATAATAAT